GTGTGTGTGTGTGTGTGTGTGTGTGTGTGTGTGTGTGTGTGTGTGTGTGTGAGAGAGAGAGAGAGAGAGAGAGAGAGAGAGAGGAGATTGATGGAGAGGTAAATGGCTAATACTTGGGAAGGCAGAACTTCGGAAGGGAGGGGAGTGGAAAGAGGAGACGCGCTCTTTAAATTTGTTTCTGTTTTCTATTGGTGGGGAGCAGCACCTGCAGAAAACCACGTCCAGCGTCCCTTTCGATACAGTTATACCCACTGTCAAAGCTTCACCTTCCGGCCCCGGGAATTTTTATTATTACTATTTAAAGGGAAAAAAAAAAAAAGAAGGGCACTCTACGTCCGGACTCTGAACTGCATGTCATGGCTGTAGGTCTCTTTTTATGCGCAAATTGTAACTCACCACAGTACTCTCCAGAAGAGCCTTCCCCACTGCTGGGGCATCACCCATCACAACATTAAGGACACCCTGCATGTTTCCATTTGCAAAATGCCAAATCAACTTATTGAAGTCAGGGCAACAACTCTTGTAACAGTCCCTTCTCCACTTGCAAAATGCCAAACCAACTTATTAAAGTAGAGGCCACACAACCACTCTTGTACAAGTCCCTTAAACTTTCACCAAGTTGAACTCTTTCAGAATGGAATTATCATGTACGATAGTGAAAGTGGAAGGCCGAATAAAAAACACTTTTGCAATAGGCACTGAAACAAAACCTTTCACATTTCCTTTGTTTCCCCTCATAATTCCCTTCCACAACAACCCTGACAAGATTTTCTTCGTTTCCCCTCATAATTCCCTTCCACAACAACCCTGACAAGATTTTCTTTATGGACCGTACACAATTCACTTCATGTAGTCCATAAAGCCCGTAGCATAGGCAAGCCCATAGCTTAGGCAAGAAACCCATAGCTTAGGCAGGAAAAATCCCATAGCGTAGGCAAGCAGCCCATAGCTTAGCCAAGAAGCCCGTGGCTTGGGCAAGCCCATAGCTTAGGCAACAAGCCCACAGCTTAGGCAACAAGCCCATAGCCTAGGCAAGAAGTCCATAGCAAGAAGCCCATAGCCTAGGCAAGAAGTCCATGGCAAGAAGCCCATAGCCTAGGCAAGAAGCCCATAGCTTAGGCAAGCCCATAACCTAGGCAAGAACCACATTGCTGCTGGTTAATAACTTAGGTAAGAAGCACATAGTTGCTGGTTACGTACTGTTTTCCCTCAGAATTCACTTATTTTCAAAGCTCAACAAAGACTCAAAAGAGCAACAACCCTTGAGTTCAGGGCTTAGGACTGACAGGGTTTAGTTTTTTTTAGATTTCAACAGACAACCACAGGTCTCTCATACTCCTGCTCTTCCTTCCTCCTCTCCCCAGCCTCCTGCTTCTTCTTGCTCGTCTCATTCTTCTTTTTCTTCTCATCCTCGTCATCCTCCCCCTCCGTGTTCTTCTTCGTCTTCTTCTTCTTCTTCTTCTTCTTCTTCTTCCTCCTCCTCCTCCTCCTCCTTCCTGCTGTGCAGACTTCGCTGCTGCTTGCCTTAATCATGCATGATACCTATCGCGAACTTTAAAATGTTATAACCAAAGGAACCAAGTCTGGAACTCGACCCAAGTAATCTCCCACTTACCGGCGGAAATCCAGCCCGCAGTCCAAGCTCGGCAATTGAAAGAGTAGACAAGGGCGTTAGCTCCGCCGGCTTCAGCACCATTGTGCAACCTGCCGCCAATGCTGACGATATCTGCGACAGGACAACGCGCAGCACAGCGCACAGAGTCGACTGAGTATGCTGACCTGTCCACCCAATTGGCGTGTTACTTGCCGACTCTTTGAGACTTCTACTCTTGGAATTGACTACTGTTCTGACTGTATCTCACAAACAAAAAAGAAAAATGGAAAAGAACTAACCGGATATCAACTTCTCGCTGGTTGACAAAATGATTGCATTTGTACCTGCTTGTCCTCCTGTCACTTTACGTACATGTTGGGTATACTATCGTCCGTCTTCGCCCGAGTAGAACGGCCTGTCATTATAGCTGTATTTGGGGCGATTTTCAGCCCAGATGCCGCGACAATGACCGGGCGTTCTATTCGGGTAAAGACAGTAGTGTACAGAATGGTATGGCCACCTACAGTCCCTGTCAATTTCCATGGAAATGGAAATGCATCCCTTTCAAATTCTGAACACCGAGATCCCGCCGTATCCGGCTTATTCCGAAGGCTTTTTAAAGGATCCAATGAGACTACGCACGGACAGCTGTTGTCCAGTTATTCACGCGCATTGCATGTTGAAATGACACAGGGCACAGGGCACAGGAAACAACCAGATCGGGCAGCATTTGACGCAGGGATGGACATCGAGGGATCCCGAAAAGGTGGGAAAAAAAAAAAAATGGTGAAACAAACGGAAAAAAAAAACACCACTTCATGAGTTCTCATTTCAAAGATCCCTAAGTTGTCAAAACACCCCAGCACTGTGGACGTCCCACAAGTGGGACAATGATGTTTACAATCATGCTGAACTGTACTGTCCTTAGCCATGAGGCCCATGCTAGTACTGTCCTTAGAGATTTTAAACTTCAAACACCAGCACAAAGGCATGAGGCCCATGACTATGTCCTCAGAGATATTAAACTTGACAAGCAGCACAAGCCACGACAGTCAAGTGCTACAATCATGTTTACAATCATGTTTACAATCATGCTAAACTGTGCTGTTCTTAGCCATGAGGCCCATGCTAGCGTACTGTCCTTCGAGATTTTAAACTTCAACCACCAGCACAAAGCCATGAGGCCCATGACTATGTCCTCAGATATATTAAACTTTGACAAGCAGAACAAGCCACGACCCGTTCTGGCCTTCGGAGGGCACAATGTGGGAGGACCTGGCACCTGCTAAAATTTGTGCAAGTGGTTACCTTTTTTTTTTTTTTGGCGGTTGGAATATATCTGGTGTCCACTCTGTGGACTGGCGACAAGTCTGGCCAAAACAGTGTGGGACATTTGTTATAACGACCCTGAAAAAAAAACTCCTGAAAATTTAGGGCTTTGTTAACCCCTTCTCAAAATTTGCCAAAAATTTGGTAAAATTGACACCATACATGCTGTGCACCGCAGGATTCCATTTAGGGCTCTTATACACTTTCTTTTTTAACACTTCTACTGCTAACCTGGGACACCATTATTTTGACATATGCACTAAGCAGCCTTTTCATTAGGCCAGATTTGGCAGACGTCTTTTTTTCTTTTTTTCTTTTTAACAGTACTCAAGCCCCTTCTATTCTCGGGGGAAGCAGTACGGTTACTTATTATTACCTGCAAATGAGCTTCAGAAAGAGAGTTAAGAGATAAACAAGCATTTCCTCGGCGGCCCGAGCCACCTACCAGGGGGGGACTGCAGGGGCAGGGTGAGGCGCCACTCCCCTTCCCCAGGCTGCGGACACATAGTGGCCGGGAAACTTCAAAACAGTACCCAGACGGACACTATGATGCCCGCCAGCCCAGGGGGGGCTAGGCTCCCTTCCCGCACCTGCAGTCTGCCGGCTGCCCTGGAGCTTCATACTCCTCAATGTCCTCATCCATATTCTTCTCTTCCCAACCTTTGGCAAAACCTTGCATTGGCATTTTGTGCAACATTCTATTCGTCCAGCTCTGGCTGTGCTGTGGCAAAGCGTATCACAATATGTATACTCCTCTCAACTCTCTCTCTCTCTCTCTCTCCACACACACACACACACACATGCCTCACCCTACCCCTCAAGTGCTCACTTTAGTAGATGCGTGTGAACGGCCTTCCACGATTCAGACGCCAAATTCAGGTCTCAGGGTCAGAGGCCCTGGCCAAGAAAGGCCGAATTAGTCAAATTCAGGAAAGTCACAGTCGGGTACCTCAGCAGTCCAGTCCAACAGGCACCCGGCAAACAGTCACATCTAGGGGCAAGAATCACGTTTCATAATGAAAAGTCGTATTGAAGAGTGTCACATCCCACGAGTAAAAGGGCAGTTCCACAGGCAAGAGTCATGTCCCCGAGGCAGGAGTCACAGTCCACAGTCAAAACCATATGCCAAAATTGAAAAGTCGTGACTCAAAGGCCCAAGCAGCAGCAGACCAATGGAAATTCGGGAAGGTTCCAGGCCTTGACATTCGGAAACAGACAGGCCGTGGGGATGTGGTACCGGAACCCAGTCAGGCCCCCAGGAAGCAGAGGCTGGCACGAGTTGAAGTGCAATCCAAGACTACAAAAGGACTGGCCAACCTCCCATTCAGGGAGACTGCTCGTTCGCATGAAGTGTGGAAGTGCTGGTGCACTTGTGCGCTATTGTGAGGCTGTCTCTTATACACATCTAGATGTGTATAAGAGACAGCAAGACGCTCGGGCAGCGCTTCCGCATGGCTCGCA